ACAATGGTCAGGACGGGTCAGCACAGGTCAGGACGGGTCAGTAGAGATCAGTACGGGTCAGGACGAGTCAGTACAGGTCAGGACGGGTCAGCACAGGTCAGGACGGGTCAAGTAGAGGTCAGTACGGGTCAAGAAGAGGTCAGTACGGGTCAGGACTTGTCAGCACGGGTCAGTAGAGGTCAGTACGGGTCAGCACAGGTCAGGACGCGTCAGTACAGGTGAGGACGTGTCAGTACAGGTCAGGTCGGGTCAGGACGGGTCAGTACGGTTCAGGACATGTCAGTACAGGTCAGGTCGGGTCAGCACAGGTCAGGATGGGTCAGTAGAGGTCAGCACAGGTCAGTAGAGGTCAGCACGAGTCAGAACGGGTAAGCACAGGTCAGTAGAGGTCAGTACAGATCAGTACGGGTCAGAGTTCAGCACGGGTCAGCACAGGTCAGTATAGGTCAGCACGGGTCAGGACGGATCAGTACGGGTCAGAGTTCAGCACGGGTCAGGACAGGTCAGCAGAGGTCAGTACGGGTCAGGACGGATCAGAGTTCAGCACAGGTCAGTACGGGTCAGACTTCAGCACGGGTCAGGACAGGTACTGCTCATCCCTCATACGAGGCGCTGTGCTGGACTCACCCGTCAGGTAACCTGCGGTCTGGGAGTCGGAGATGAAGAGGTCGTGTTTCTGGTCTTTGAAGGCACTCCACACAGTGGAACGAGAGAGGATCTCATTCACCTGAAACAAACCACACACACGTCATTTCAGATCACTGACTTCAGTTCCAGAGGGTTCTACTGCGCTGCTGGACGAGGATGATACCTGTTCTCCGAACTGCAGGCTGCGGGTCATGGATTTGAGCGCTTTGACAATCTGAGCTTTGGTTGCTGACGGGTTTTCAAGGGTCTCCAACCCGACTCCCTCCAACAGCTTCAGCAGGTACGGCACCAGATCCACCCGAAGAGCCTGACTCCAGAGAACATTCAATCACAAATAATAATAATAATAATAACAGTAATAATAATACATTTGTATTATATATTCTTAATACAATTACTCAATTAAAACATTTTTATTGTTAAATGTTTATATATCACTGTTCAAAAGATTATATTTTTATTTTTTTAAAGAAATGGATACAGCAGATTTTATTCAGCAGATCCATCAAATTGTCAGTGAAGACTTTGTTACATTGTTATAATTTTTTTTATTTAAAATAAATGCCATTCTTTTAAAATTACATTCAAAGAATCCTAAAAAATAAAACGTATCAGAAAAATGTATTTCTGAAGATCATGTGACACTGAAGACTGGAGTAATGATGCTGAAAATACAGCTGCGCATCACAGAAATACATTACAGTTTAACAGATTTAACAGTTTTCACATAGAAAACGGCTTTTACATTGTAATAATATTTCACAATATTACTGTTTTTACTGCATTTTTAAACAAACAAATGCAGCAGAAGAAACTAGGGCTGTCAAAATGGTTGAAAAACTACATTCGAATTTTGTACTTAAATATGATCAATATTCGAATTATATTCAAATTTAAAGCATGATTTCAGTTAGGGGTGAAAAAAAGCTTTTGGCTTCTCTCCCGAGGCCACAAGAGGGCGCATCGAGCAAAATATTACTAATGCATGTTCATTCAAAGCAATGAAATAACACGACTATCTTTGAAAAGAAGTGCATAATGTTTAAATTAATGTTTATAACCCATATATAATTAATTCATTTGCTTAAACAATTAGAAACAAAACAGCATCATGTATGTATGTATAGTTTAATACAAAAGACCGTAAAACCAATCACAGAGTAGCCTACTTATTCGTTTAAAAACATGAGATGCAGTGGGATGGGGAAAACCGCCATAAAGTCTCGAGACGTGTTTTTTTAAAAGTTGAACACATTCATTTTACAAGGCTTTCTAAACATGCGTCTCTCTTGTGCGAGCTGCGAGTGCAACGGTGATAGATGTCCCTCTAGAAAATGCGTTCTGTGTGAACGGCTTGGTTTCAGTTTGGACGTAAACAACATCATGAAGTTCTCTTTTTCCACAATATTTTGAATGAACAATGTAGCAGCGCCGCATCGAGTGGCTTCAACTGGATAAGCTATGAAAAACATTATAATGCAACGACACTTACATCGCATCTCGTGCGCCACTGATAAGGCTTCCTGACGCACACCTAAAATTGTGGATTTTTATTTTAAATTCAACGAATATTCAGAAAAAAATTTTGACAGCCCTGGAAGAGACCTCTTTAAGAAACATTAAAAATAATGCTAAAAACCCTAACCAACTAGAAACTTGTAAGAGTTTATAAATGAATTAAAAACCCATTATTAAATAAAAAAATGTCTGTAGTGTGTGCGTCACCTGTGCTACTAGTTCGGTCTGCTCTCGCTGGAACATGCGGTTCAGAGCCTCGCAGGCCAGTCCTGCCATATCAGCCCTGAGCTTCATCCCCGTCATCAGCGGGCCGATGGTGTCTAGCGCTGCCATGGAGCGCACACACAGCTGCACACACACACACATCACTCTCAGATTCACAGCATCACACGCAGAGCAGGCTGTGTTTGCGCTGTACCTCGTTGTCTGAGAGCACGTGGATGAGTCGGATGGCACTCTTGGGCACGGCGTTGTTCTTGTGGTTGAGCGCGGTCAGGACACGAGGCAGATGACCGAGAGGAGGAACCTGATCAGCCAGCTGCGTCTGTGAGCTGAAGAGACACACGGCTGCGGTGCTCACCGTCTCCAGAGCCTCACCCTGTGACAGAACAACAGGGTCAAGATTTTTGGGTGAACTAACCCTTTAATCGCATCCAAAATTAAAGTTTTTGTTTACATAGTATATGTATATACGTTATCGAGTATATTGCAAAAGCAAACAAAACACACCTACAGAGTGCACGCATACATTACGTGATCAAGTGTAGTCAGCTAGACTAGTGCGCATTTACAGTTCACTGCATGATTCAGTCTATTAATATGCATTTAGAATGATCACAATATTCAAGATATGGGCCTGTTTTTGCTCTATTTCGACAACAAAAATCATTCCAAACACAGCTCTGTTCTGCGTCTCTGAGCAACATGATAGTGATTCGTTCCTGAATGAATCAACTGTTTAAATGATTCAGTTCAGTCGCAATGACTCACTTATTAACAGTGACTCGCTGCCACCTACTGGTGGTTTTAATTTCACATTTAATGTATCTATTCATTTAAAAAAAAAATGAATTCAAATATCAGTATTCAACATTTTGTTTAAAATATCAAAACATTATTTATGCATTTGAAGCTGCAGGTTAAATGCATTCATGTCTCTCTCAGCTTCATTAAACAGTGTGTAAACACATCTAAATGCCTCTTCAGATGCAGCTTCTGTGTTTCCTCTGCATTGCAAAGATGCATTGATACTGATATCATTTGCTTGGTAGATCCGCAGAAACACCCCACCGACCTCCAGCTCGCCCTGACCCGCGCCGTAGGCCACCGAGAAATCCTCCGCCAGCTGCAGAAACACACATTCACTCAGCAGGAACACATCACAAGAGCCAGTGAACACGTTTATAACCTTACAGTAGAGTTCTCTTTCAAATAAATGCTGCTCTTTTGAACTTTCTATTCATCTGTGAATCCTGAAAAATAAATTATATCTCAGTTTCCATTAGTGCTGGGCGATGTGGCAAAAACATTAAATCTCGATTTTTACAGAACGTTTGACCGATAATCGTTTTTTAAAGATTTTTAACTGGTCAACTTCAAAATGTAATTACAACATGATTCAAGTAACTTTTTCTTTATTAACCCTCTAGTTAAAGAAAATTCTGATCCAAGTGCAGCACACATGAAGTTGTCAACATGATGTAAATGTTAAACAAATCACCTGTTAAATATCTTTGCAGAAAAGATGCATGAAAATGTTTAAAAAAATTCTCAAAGTCAAGGTAATTCAAATTCAGAATGACTGAAGGTATAACACCAGCAGACTATTAATAACTATAAATGTTCTGTAAAAACAATGAACAGCAGCTTTCAGTCAGTCACTGTGATGCAAACATGAAATATCAGACATACAGTAGTAGTTCTTCACAGGGTTTTTTTTTCTGTGTAAACATGGATGCGTTTGACTGTTGCACTTGCGTCTCTAGCACAAAACGGCTTTCTAAAAGCACACCGCTCAAGTTAAAAGAATTTCAACTCCCATATTCTTGCATGTGTTTCCTATTCCACTTTTTGGACTCTTTATCAACACAAAAGCGCATTCTGTGTGAACATATAAGCGTGCCACGCTTGAGCGGTTAATCACGAGCGCAGACACGCGGTTGGATCGTACTGCTATCATTGGCATATAGTCAAAGAGTCTAATTCTAACGTTTGGTAATATTTCTATTCAAAATCGCCATTCCTCGATTTATGAAAAATAAAATCTTGTGAAAACATTCAATTCAAATTAATCGATAAAATCGGAAAAATATCGCCCAGACCTAGTTTCCACAAAAATATTGTGCAGCACAACTGTTTTCAACATTGATGATAATCAGAAATGTTTGTTGAGCAGCAAATCAGCATATTAGAATGATTTCTGAAGATCATGTGACACTGAAGACTGGAGTAATGATGCTGAAAATACAGCTGCGCATCACAGAAATACATTACAGTTTAACAGATATTCACATAGAAAACAGCTGTTTTACTTTGGAATAATATTTACAATTTTTAATGTATTTTTGATCAAATAAATGCAGCCTTCTTTCAGAAACATTTCTCACGAAACCCAAACTGTTTAGCGGTAAAACTGTAAATGTAAACCGAAGCTACCTTCCAGCTGACGTCAGGATTGTCCTTCTGCTGCTTGAAGTGCCTGTGGGAACAGAAGCAGAGTGAGTGAGCAGAGAATAGAGGAGAGAGAAAGAGAAGGACTGATCTGAGGTCAGCGCTCACTCCAGCATCATCTCTCTGACGCTGGTGGACACGGTCTCTCTCGAGCTGTCGTTCCAGATCAGCTCGGGGTTCTCGTGCGTTCCCTCGAATATGTGCACCGCCGCCTCGGGGTTATCACGCATGGCGTCCATGAACACGGCCGGCAGGAAGCGCATCAGCGTCAGACGCACCTGAGAGAGACAGAAACACAGGTGATCGAGTGATTAACACACGCAGTAACGACCTACAGCTCCTGCACACACCGTCTAACTCAAAACATCGATCCGATACGGGAGAAACTGAAGGAGTCTTACCTTGGGCCCCACCAGCTTGTCCGAGGTCATCTTGGAGAAGAGCTCAGCCGTCTGCGTGCGCACCTGAGGATGGGTGGAGTTACAGAACAGATCCAGCAGGTAGATCAGCGCACCTGAGAGACAGAGAGGTCAGAGGAGACTGACTCAAACAGCTGCATCAGCTTCTGAAGACACGGATCACACACCTCTGTTCATGGCCTCGGTGATGATCTTGGTGTTGGAGGTCAGAGCGTAAAGCGTCTCCAGCACCAGCTGACGGCCTGCAGACACACAGAGAAAGAGAAAAAACTCTACATTATCAATAATGCTGACATACACATATGAAAAGTCAGGGCTTTTACAGACATTCTATAGATATAAATAATAACAATACATTCTTTATTGTGGATTATATGCCCAACTGAACTATTAAAGTCAAGCCAATTTTCAAAAGAAATCAAAATGTATTTATAAAGCAACTTAAAAAACACACAGAGTGGACCAAAGTGCTGTACAATTACATAAAACACAATAAAATACAAAGAGAGAGATAATAAAAATACAGCAAGAGCAAAATAAAATACAATAAAATAAATAAACTATTATAAATCTAATCCGAACCAATAGTCGTCACAAAGCAGCAAAGGCTGCTACAAAATCAGTGTAGTTGGCTTAAAATAGTATAGAGAATATTATGAATGTTATTAATAATAAAGAAAGAATATGTATAAATAAAAATCCATAAATTGAAATATAAAAATACTGTATTCATACAGGTGTGTGTGAGAGAGAGAGAGTGTGTGTGTGTGTGTGTGTGAGAGTGAGAGAGTGTATGTGTGTGAGAGTGAGAGTGAGAGTGTGAGTGTGAGTGTGTGTGAGAGTGTGTGTGTGTGTGAGTGTTTAATCTGCTTCACAACTGATGTGTTCAGTTGCTCGGAAAAAATGGCAAATATTTAGATGGTGATGTGACCTCAACATATCATTGACATACTATTATAGTTATTATTAATCTTTTTAAACAATATTAGAAAAACTTATTTTTATAGTTTTTATTAAATATTTAGATTTACTTACAGTACATCCACTTCAACTAAATAAAAATGGTAAGATTTTGCCTTGGCAACTAGATGAAAGTTTTTTTTTTTTATACAACATTACCATTAATAACATTACTTTATTTAAAGTAATAGAAATATATATTTTTAATGGTTTTCAATGCAGTTTTAGTGAACTGTAATAACGCTGTGAGGGCTGACCCAGCTCTGCTGCATGTATATATTATTATTAAAGGTTCATTAGTCTTACTGGAGGGCAAGGAGTGCAGCAGCACCAGCAGACTGGGCAGAACCAGAGACTCAGCGATGTTGACGACGCAGTCCTGGTTTGACGTGACCGTGTTCACCACCTACAGCAAACCACAGTGTTAACAGAGATGATGTGTCTGTGAAGTATGAAGCAGCACAGGTTTCTAATGCACCTCTAAAGCCAGCTGCTGGACTCTTCCGGCGCCGTGGACCCTCAGCAGAGAGAAGAGCAGCTTGAAGTGACCGATGCACTCCGTCTCAGAGCCTGCGACACACACACACACATCACTAACCAGCCTCTACACACACATGCATCAGTCTGCAGTGTTTCAGGCACCTGGGTTGTTCTTGATGACGTTGCGGAGAGCTTCAAGCGCCATCTCGGCCCAGCGCAGTCTCGGAGCGTGCTGCTGCGACTCCACTTTATTAGTCTGCGTCATCGCCAGCAGCGTGTGCAGATACTGAGCCTGAGAGCCCACATAGTCCAAGAGACTCGACGCAAACGCCTTCGGATACTGACACACACACACAGACCAGAGTTCAACAGCCATCAGACACTACACTTCAACACTTTTATTCATCAAGGATGCATTAAATCAATCACAAGTGGCAGTAAAGACATTTATAATGTAACAAAATATTTCTATTTCAAATAAATGCTGTTCTTTTGAACTTTCTATTCATCTGTGAATCCTGAAAAATGAAATGTATCACAGTTTCCACAAAAATATTGTGCAGCACAACTGTTTTCAACATTGATAATAATCAGAAATGTTTCTTGAGCAGCAAATCAGCATATTAGAATGATTTCTGAAGATCATGTGACACTGAAGACTGGAGTAATGATGCTGAAAATACAGCTGCGCATCACAGAAATACATTACAGTTTAACAGATATTCACATAGAAAACAACTGTTTTAAATCATAATAATATTTCACTATTTTTACAGTATTTGTGATCAAATAAACGCAGCTTTGGTGAGCAGAAGAGACTTCTTCTGGGTCTTCAGTACAGTAGTGTAGGCGTCTCTCACCTCCAGAGGAAACGCAGGCTGCTCGTTATAAACCCTAACGAAGATCTCTCCCACGATCAGCTCCTTCCCGTGCTCACTGAACAGGAACTCTGAGCCGAAGCTCTTGTCGCACTCGCCCTGCAAACACACAGAGAGTGAGTGTGATCTGAATCAGAGGAGTGTGAGGAGCAGCAGAGGATCGTGAGGAGCGTCTCACTCTCTTGATGTTGCTCTCCTGCTGCTCCTCCAGGAACTCCATCAGCTCCGCTCGCGTGCCGTTGTTCCAGATCAAGTACGGCGTCTCCGAGTTACTGTTCAGCAGCTTCAGGACCTGCAGAACCAACAGATGAACCACAGCTCAACACACAGCCACTGTCCATCTATCCTTCAACCCTCACACTGCTCACATCACAGCAGCACTAGTGCTGGCACAATACCAAAACTTGACTTTGACATGATACCTGACTAAAACATCTCAACACTACTACTGAAGCAGTGGAGGCCAGAGAAACTCTAAATACACCCCGCAGAAGAAAGATAAACCATATATTGTCGCAGTCTTGTGTTTATTAGTCACGCTGAATCAATGAAAGTATTTGGAGTTTCTCTGGCCTTTGGATGGAGATTTACTGCTGATCACAGAACCCTGCTTCACTGAAAGATACGCACGACTATCGCATTCGATTAATCATGCAGCGCTAACTGCATTACACCGTCTCAGCATACAGCAGCAGCAGTTACACGATATACTCTGCTACAACCCTGATTCACTGAAAGATGCGCACGACTATCACAGCTTCTGTCTGATCGCGACTGTGATGTAATTTGGATTAATGGTGCGGCCGCTAGCGCAGCGGCTGCTCCTCTGTACCTCGGCGGGCGAGCTGCGGCTCAGTCTGCGTGAGATGTAGGGCGTCAGCATGGCCCCCAGGCTCTTCCTGATGGAGGGGTTCTCTGGAGGGAGCTCTCCTCCGCTGGGCTGGTCCTCTGGGCCCTGGGCCCCGCTGTACCCCGCCAGACGCCCGAGGGCCCCCACGCTCAGCTTGGCCAGGCTGTTGCACACCTGCTGCTGGTTGGTGTCCTGGCTGGCCTGGACGCCGCTCTCCTCCAGCGTGTAGTCGTAGCTGAAGAGCGAGAAGAGCAGGTGCCACAGCACTCCAGCCCTGTACAGGTGCGTCTGCAGGAAGAAATCCACCGCGAAGGAGCTGACACACTCCACCGCCAGAGATGCCAAGCGCGGCAGACCCTGAGAGAAAGCACAGAGTCACAGAACGCTCCGCAGACATCAGAACACAGACAATACAGCACACTCTCCAGACCATTACTGCAATTAAACTGGGAAAATTACTCATTCAAACAGTAGTAACAGATCAGACAGAGGGGGTCTGTACTTACTATAGAGTAAGAGTTAGGGTTTGGTTTAAGTTAGTTGTTATATTTATCCATAATTTACTACTATTAATACAGTAAGTGCATGTGACGTATAAGAAGAACACTGTAAAATGTTATAAAGCATTACCTAAAAATAAAAATTTTAAATACAAATAATTGTATTTTTAATAAATTAATACGTTTTATTTATATAATTTATAAAATGTATAATAATAAGCATTTTAAATGCACGACGTGGAGGCAAAGAACCACCCGCCGCGAAGTGCAGATAAACTCCTTTAATGCACGGCAAGCCGTTGATTATCCGCTTATTCCGGTCATTTGCCAAGTTATAGACAAGTTAAAACTAGTATTGCTCTTTACAGCGCAATATTTGACCAGAAAGGTAAAAATAACAGTTATTTTCGGCAGTTATGGCTCGTTAGCTCTAGCATTCTGCCCGCTTCAAATCAGACACAGAGATGAAATAGTGCGGTAAGACCACATTTATTTGAATGAATTATAGCATTTATTTCAATTAATTATCGATCGAGAGAGAGAGAGAGAGAGAGAGAGAGAGATGACAGTTGTGTGTATCTGCGTCTGCGCGTCTCTCTACAAACAATTAATTTCTTCAAAAACAGTGATTTTACACCTCGTTGCTGAGGAATATAATGTAGCAATCTAGTATCTAGGCTATTTTATTAATAAAAATCGCGGGGAAGCGTTGACAACAAGT